AATTCACATTGGTTGACACATAAACATACTCGTATGGTAAACAGAGAAGCTTGTGAGACATTTTAGAACAAACCTCATTGGTTCTCATCTGTGCATGTTGCATGAAAACCAACAAACAAACAAGCTTCCATGTTTACCATATGTGAAGCTCTCAGTGTATGTGTGTTTATATGTGAATAAAAGTCTAAAAATCAGTTCATCATATAAAGTGACCGTATCTCTTCACAAGACTTGAATTAAACCACTCAATCTTCAGTGGAGAGACTAAACTCTGAGGTTTCATTACAAAAATGTTAATTTGTGTTTGGAAGACTAAGCAAAGTCTTAGGCGTTTGTAACAGCATGAAATGAGAAAATAATGACAGAATTTTGATTTTTGTGTGAACTGTCCCTTTAGATCAGTGGTCAAGTCACCTATATTTCTGTAGCGATTTATTCAATACAATCCGTTTGAAAGCTGCTTCACAATATTAAACATGAAAATCACAGAATCTATGATGCAAACTTCAAATATGAGGCAAACCCAAAATCTGATGTAAAGCAGCTCTACGGAAGAGAATAACGTTGTTAGTAAACTCCTGTCAGTTACAACAAATATGGTGCACAAATGTCTCGGTGAAGGCCAGATGAACAGCAGTGACGTTCTCAACAGCGCTGACAAACACAAGAAACACTGTGCCATGAACAATCACGTTAGAAGGCTTTTACATGGACTTACACCGTGTCTACACCGGACGCGACAGTTGTCGTGTTGCGCCGCGCCACAACAGCTAAAGTCTGTCTACACTGGACGCAACAAAGCGACCGTTGAAAATATCATCATAAATACGTCATTAATAGAATTGGCAGCAGTTTACTGTCGGGGATTTGACGTGGTGCGCCGCGCCGCATCCAGTGTAGACAGCATCACTGATTATAATGAGTTATATCGTATTTTGTCGCGCCGCGCCGCTTGCGTCCGGTGTAGACACGGTGTTACCATGGATTTACTGTAGTAACACTAACTGCACCATGGTATTGTGGCATGAAATGTGGGTTATACAGTACATATGGAATTTTATTATATCATTAATGTAGACATGTATTAAATGTATCAAAGGAGTAATGGTTGTTGTTGAGCTATAGCATTCGTGCAAATATTTATTCTAAATGTGTTTTGATTACTGTCATGTTCCGACAAAAAGATTCATTTAAAACCTCAATTAATTTTCATTCAGGAGAAGAAATCTACCTTTAAACTTGAAAGAAATTAGGATTTGACAGTTCATTCATTATCATTATCATGCGGTTTTGACTGATATGAACAATTTTATTGTGATAATTTTTTGGCCATATTACCCGGCCTTAAACAAATCCCAATTAAACACACCTCAATGTCTTCGGGATCACTAGAAACTTCAGGCAAGTGTGTTGGAACTTTATATCTCATATCCTGCTGCAAAACATGACAGTTTAATTTTAGACCGAATATCGATTTTGAGCAATACTGGGATGCACCAGTGAATGGTGGGATATTTTGCTATTAAAATGATCGTTCTAGAAGAACAGCATGAGAATTTTATTTTGTCTGGTCTCTCGGTATCAACTGATTGAGCTTTTAAGTTTTGCGAAGTACATTTCAGTGTGGACTTTTGTAAAACACTTAAGTGGGGATGGAGAGTGATTTGAAATGAAAACGCCCTTTTCGAATATGTCCAAATTAATATGGACATATAGTAGGCTAGCTCAAGAGAATGCTGGAGTTTCTCAGAAAAAAGATACATATAATCTAAATATCTAATCAGTTTTATGCACAATGTAGATTATGTTGTGTGATCATCGCATGATCTCACGTGTTGACTGGGTCTCCACTTCTTCCCTGATACACATGATGTAATCGTTTTGTTTTCTCATTGGTTAAAACATCAACCGCTATTTTCTGTGACTAGTTGTCTGTTGCTGAGAGCTTTTGCTTTCAATTATTTAAAAATGAGTAATTAGTCAGATTTACACATTTAAAGGCTTTCAGTCATGGGGGAACGAGTGTGGCGACGAAGATCTTTGCTCTGCTTTGTGTTCTTTTTCTTTATGGCACTCCTCCTATACTTCAAGCAGGTAAATGATTTAAAGTTTCTGCATTTATCAGAGAATAACATAACTGAAAGTAACAAGATTTAAAACGTCTTTGTAACGAAAGTAATTCAGTTTGAGAAGAAATGCATGCTAACTTCGTATGCAAAAAAAGTATATATAACAGGCTATAGATAAAACGTTCCAGCCTATTTTTTTATAACCATATAAACTAACCTTCCAGTAAAAAAGTTGCAGATGTTTTGTGTGTGTTTTGTGCGGGAGCGGGATTAAGAAAACAGTCCAGCGCAGGGCAATATAAAAACTGTATAAAGCAAAAGGATTGGCCTTTTTTTTTCTTAGGTCAAAAAAGAAGACATGTCCTGGAAAAAAAAGCATGTATGGACACCCTATAGAAATGTAGAGAAATCTAGTAAATCTACCTATAAATGGACACATTCAATCTTATTTAATCCTCCATGGTTCCTGGGACGTTTTGAGGGGCAGGGGCTCAAGTGGAAAAAAGGGCACTTCATTTTTTTCTGAACAAAACATTAAATATATTAGGGGTGTGCAATATTGTATATATCTCAATATTTTCTGAGATTTTATCGAGAACAATAATTAGATGATATTTTGCTGAGTGTGTTATTGTGCTGATATCTTAAGGACTACCGTGGACAGCTGACTCCTAAAGTTTTTCATATTCTGCATATTCTGTGTGGTGATTAGTTCACAGCAGTGATAGAAATGTATTTTTACCTTTTTATGAGTATTTTTACCTTTAAGCCTTAATTTATTTTTACCTTTTATGAGCATTTTTACCTTTAAGCCTTTTTTTCTAAAAGTGTGCCTCATCTTTTCAGTTAAATTCTTAAATTGAATCAGTCTATTAGAATAATAAGTCATTCGGGCTGTTACCAGTCCAAAATCAGTATTGACAAAATTCATCTTTGCAATGCAGAGAAAACACAGAAGCTGAAGGGACATTGATGAATTTACACACTGTTTAATGCAGGACATGAATGTATTTAACCTGCAGTTACAAATGCATTAATACTGTTTTGATATTTTAAACATAAAACGTTAAATACTGACATTTGAAATTATTTTTAAAAATATATGAAAAGATACTTTAAATGTGAAATTAAAACTGTCAGTAGGTGGCAGCAAGTCACTATTAATAAGTGAGTCATTGCGACTGAACTGAATCATTTAAACGATGATTCACTCAGGAACAAAACACATCATGTTGCTCAGCGACGCAAATTGAAATTATATTTGTCGGCGAAATAGAGCAAAAACAGTCAATATTGTGTCCAAACGTTAGTGTCTTAATATTAAATTCTTGTTTGTTGAACTGCTGTATAAAATCAGTATCACATTTGTAATCATGCTGCTTTTTGGTGGAAAAAAGCCAGTCTTCCTGTGATACTGATTAACTATATGAAATTATATAAATGCATTTCTGCCCCCATATGTTGCATTTTGTGATCATTTTAAATGCATTTTAATAAACTGAATCATGCAGTGAAAGAACCTGCACTGGTCTAACCTAATAGACTTCCTATTGCCTTAATTAAACTTTAGCTAACTTGTTAGCTCTCATGAGTCATGGATGGGATAATTAGCTGTAAATTCGGGGCACAGGTAGCTTAGTCTGTTGTTCATCACCACTTACCTCCACAGCAAGACAAACACAACTGGAAAGGGAGGGAGGGCTTCACTTCTGCGGCTCTCTGTCTATCTGTCTGTGATGTGCAGCTGATCAATGTGTGCTACACTGCTGTGCTGCGGAGATGCGGAGGGAGACAGTCTCAACATTTCCTGACCCGACCTGATATTTTGATTTTTTATTTGTTTGACAGGGACAGCTGTGCGCAAACAGAAACACACACACACGCACACAATTTATTAAAAAAAAAAAATCCCCAGAAAAAAGGGCACTTTCTCTCGAGGAAGAAAAAGGGCAGGTGCTCAAGCCCCCTTTGATGTCTATGTGTGCACGTGCCTGGACAGATCTTCTTTATGCACCAAGAGCTTGTAACACTCCAAAGAGAAAGGAAAAAATTTAATTGCATCATATGACCCCTTTAAGTAGTGTAAAAACCCTGTAGATGAGACTGTAGGCAGACTTTCCACATGGTCTTTCCATGCATAGAACAAAAATTACACTAAATTGGAGCGTGTGAGAAAACAGGTCTTTTAAAGGTCAGAGAAAAATAAATGTCTTCCTTCAGAGCACTGGTTTGGGAAATTTACTGCAGAGAAATGCTCACTGTATTACATTTACACGGCTTTGTCCAAACCTGTCGATCTGCCGGGCATCTATCAGTTCAGTGCTATGGGTCTGCTAGATGACAGACAGATCGACTATTACAATAGTGAGGAACAGAGAAATATTTCCAAACAGAACTGGATGATAGAATGCAGGATGCCGGGCTTAAAGATCTCCGGCGTGCGGCGTTTGGCTGCAGGAAAAAAAGTCGTCCTACATTTAAAAACACTTGTTGATATCACTTTCGAGTTCATGAGTTCGCCTACCAACGTATGAGAGGAACACAGCTTTCACTCTCAACCAAACTAACATTACTAGCCAATCAGAAGTTTTTGCTCTT